ATTTGACGAAATTATAGCGTAAGCAAAATTTTTGACTGGAAAATCGCTTTTTTTCCGCATTTTACGACCTTTTTTGCAAGCGCTCTAGCGTCGAGGGAAAGCACTTTGGAAAAAAATGTCAAGAGACAAAAATGTTCAGGACACATTTCTCTATCTGCTCTAAAAATTTGACAAAGATTTGTGATAGTTCATTGAGCAACTTAGTTCGTCCCTATCGTGCACTGCCTCCTAAGAGCCTCACAGAGCATCAGTACTATCTTTTAATAGAACCTACTATCAAAAAATATCTAAAATCAGTTATAAACTATAATTTTCTATAGTTAGTAGTACGTTTAAAAGTTAGCATAAAAGTACGCTCATTTCAAACATCAATTAATGAGTGATTGATCGTGTTCGAAATGCAAGGTAAAGTAAATAATAAAACTACTAATAATTTGAATAATCAATTCTTTTTCTTTAGAGTCTGCTAAAAATGTGTAAACATATTCGTGTGTGTAAGTTCTCTTGACAAAACAGATAGTTTTAGTTGCACATCAAGTCGTATAATAAGCTCATTGTTACTAGTCATATCATTAATTAGCATTAAATTCAATATTCATTTCCTTGGTTGGTCATTTAATCATAGACATTTACGTTCAATTCATTATCCATTTATAATAACTATGTTGGTAAGTTAACTTCATTGATAATTATATTTTTTTTATTATCACCGGCTATTATTCAATGTTTTCTTTGTCGCCAATTTTGTTCAACGGTCTATTATAAAATAGGAGGCTTTTTGATTTATTTTTATGTCGAAAGACATTATGTGCTTTTGCTGGGAATTTTGCTTTTTATTTTCTTCTTCCTTTCTTTCTTTCTCTCTTCCCCTTTTTAGGCAAAATGTGCACCTCGTAGTCTAGAGAACTATGAAAGCTAGACAACTTCTAGAAAAGTTACGATATTTTCCCGACATTGGACATTGATCAATGCACATTTTTCTCTGAAATAAACGTCCAGGTTTGATGACATAAGCGCCACAAGTGAAAGGAAAATGTATTTTGAAATTTTTCGTACATTCAGTTGTTTGGCGCCATTTGTTCTTCAGAGAAAAAATAATTCTCTCTCACTTCTTCAAATTTCGTTTTCATTTCATTTTCTTAAATCTATCTTTTAAAGCACTCTCTATTGACTGCGGACAGCTTCTCGCAGATTCAGTTTGAATACAGTCTGTCGACATCGCAACTTGTGCGCAGCGCAATTACTCTCTAGTTCTGGGTGTGCTTATATGTATATGTTATTTATGCTATCCATTATGCGATATGCAACCATATTTCGTGTAAAATTTACTCAAATGGTATTAAGTAGACACAATATTTTTGTTATTTTATTTTGTTTGTGTTTGGCGTACATATTTACTGTACCACGGTTGTCGGGCATAAACAATTATGTTTCGGAAGGTCTTGGTTTTTATTGTGAACTTGATTGGCAAGACTCATCATTAAACAGTCGACTGTATCTTTTAATTGCATTTTTATTTGTCTGTTTTATTTCGTTAATATTATTACTCTTTGCTAATATTCAAATTTATCGTACAATATGGAATTAATTATTAAGAAAGCATTTTCGACTAATCAGTAAAACTCACTGGGAATTTATTCGAATATCAACAGTATCATCAAATCAACTACGATCAATTAAACCAAGCATGACTGAAAAACACCTATCAACAAATAGATATAAACAATATAAATTTCAACAAAATTTTATTGTTAAATGCATTCCATGGCATGATGGACCAGATATAAGGAAGCAGTTAAATGATAAACTACTAATTCATCGAGTGCAAAATTTAAAACGCTTACAGGTTGATAAACATTTTGCTATTCATACTATATTTCTTGTATGTGAATATCTACTATGTTGTACACCCTATGCTGTTGTAGCTTTATTACAAATATTTAATTTATTGAGAGGAAAGCAATATCCGATAACATTAACATTGTGTGCATGCATGGCTAAATGGGTATCAATTTTTTGATCACCAAAAAATAAGACTTTTGATCGCCAAATCAATTAAAGAAAACTAAATTGAAGAAAATATATACAAGAAAAAACTAACTTTATAGCAACAAAGCTGTATGAGCTTTTTTCGGACGACCTTTACCTTTTCTCTTACCTAATGGTTCACCTCGTGAGATTGCCCCGTGGTCCCATAGAGGCTATAATTTTTCAAATAAAAACGTCCATTGAAGAAACTAAGTGAACAGGTATGTAGAGCGAATATTTCTGCATCGAATAACGTCGCGTTCATATTTTTAGCGCTCGTCACGTCCCAACGGTAAAAACTTATTGTCATGCTACTAAAACAGAACACTTTCCCCCGGCACACCTCTGACACAAATTCAACCAAACTGACGTTGTTATTGTTGTCGTGGATGATGGAACAACATAAAATGTATTACACCAATATAAAGTATTAGACAGATTTATACTTACTGACCATTTGTAAGCATGCAGCTCCATATCAGGAGATATACTTGAAGCAGCAGCAAATGGTGATGAAATACTTCCCTCTGACCAATCCGTTAACATTTGTTCCATTTTTGGTAGAAACACCGATAAATGTAACTTATTACGGAATATGTATTTTTGTTTTATAATGACATTCATCGATTCACAACAATTATTCGTCGATGGTTTACCAAACGCAAGAACCCCGTACCTAAATGACAGAAACTGGGTTGGTCTTAAGCATACACTTTAGTTCTATTTTCTTACTAATAGGGTAATTCTGTTATCCATTGATCAACGAATTG